GCTGGGCAGCTAACATGCACTCTTGAGGGGAGAGGAGCGTTGTCTTGGGGAATTTGTATTTCCCAGGTAGAAACACAGATCCCACATCTTAAGTAAGTGCACTAATCACTGGGGAGGGACAGGAGGGAAAGGAGAGCAGGCGAAGCTGTGTGGGACAGCAGTGCTCTGTGGCACATCAGCCCCTCCACGGACATACTCAGGTCACCAGCCTTTAGATTTTGGCAGCTCCAGTAAGCATAAAATGACGCTTAGATATAGTTCAACTTTGCAGTTCCTCTATCAGCAGGGACAGACAAATGAGTTAACTGAGTACTGTGTCCAGTTCTGGTCCCCACAATTCAACAAAGATGCTGAGGGGCTGGGTAAGGTCCAAAGGAGGGCCATGAACATGATCAAAGGGCTGGAGAACCTGCCTTGTGAGGAAAGACTGAAGGAATTAGGTCTTTTCTCCCTGGAGAAGAGAAGGCTTGTGGGGGACCTCATCACAGTATTCCAGTACTTAAAGGGCAGCTGCAAAGAAGACAGAGAAGATAATGGGCAACGGGTACAAGGTGTCACTGGGAGAGGTTTCATTTCAACATACAAAAGAAATTTTTTACAGTGAGAACAACCAATCACTGGAAAAACCTCCCCATGGATGTGGTAGAGCCCCCATCACTGGAATTTTTCAAGATGCAGTTGGACATGATGCTAGATGATCTCATCTAGGCTTCCTTTCCCATGAAAGGCTGGTCTAGATGATCTTTTGAGGTCTGTTCCAACCTGGGCTGTTCTATGGTTCTATGAGTTTGATGGACAGGGAGTCTCTAAGCAGGCTTTGGTCCTGGAGAAAATGAGTGTGGAAAAACACCTCTCAACATCTCTGGCCTTCTGTGTTTCTTGCCTTGAGAGTATAACTAAGAAGTAAAAGTGGCCTCTTCATTAATCTGTCTTCATTTCTCCTACTGTTTAGAGAATCAGGTACTCACTTGGGGGCACTTTATTAACAGAAAAGTCTGTTTATTTTCAAGAACCCACAATCTGAACAGTATAGATAGAAAGTTAGCTTGGAGCTTTCTGTAGGACAATTTAAGTAATGAAAAAAACAATAAAAGTAAATATATGTATTTTCTACATTCTCTATCTTGACTTTAAAGAGCTTCTCTGACTAATTGCATTCTTCTGGACTTACACAAATAAGTTTCATTGTATTACAAGCTGCTACAATATGTGGTCTTCTCATGCCTGAATACTCTCATCAGAGTACCAACAAAACAAAAAAAAGGACTTGAGAGATGGCTTTCCTGTGCCAAACACCATGTTCCTTCTACCAAAACAGCTAACAACTTTCCTCTGGGGTTTATATACAAGTTTACTTTCAATTTGAAATCTCTTCCTTGTGTTTGTCTCCTAGCTCATTTTTTATGCTAAACAGCATTGTGCTTTGAGACAAGGGAGACACCTACAGTAGATGTCCATCAATAGAAACAGCTTGCCAGGATGGTTCCCTCTTCTTAGCTAGGACCCCCCACTTTGAGCCTCTTGTACCTCTTTCTAGGTACGTATGTTGAAGTAGCCCAAGTGTTTCTCTACAGGATTATTCTGACTTGTTTTCTGAAAATCATCTCTATCCCACAGTTTAATATAATGATAGCTGTTGAAAGAAAACATCTCAACCTGAGTTCTCTTCTAGTTGTTTCAGTGGAAATTTAGTCATTTGGAGGAAACATGAAATCACAAGTTACACAGGCCTGCTGTTTCAGGTCCTTCCCTCTACATTTATTCTATGGAGTTTCAGAGAGAATAACTGGAGTCTGCAAATCCTGAGGCTGATGGGAGGTTAGGATGTCACCCAGGCCCCTCTCCAACCTAGGCTAGTTGCACTTCAGATTCTTCCTACATGGGGCTTGTTGCTGACCAAATAAAAGCAAATTTCTCTCCAGTTTATTATTAGCACGAGGCCCCTTTTTTGGTCCAATGCTTCCTAGCAACCTGAGTGTCTGTTTGTTAGTTTACTTTTCACAAACTGTTATCATAAGTCCATGGAAACAGAGTACTTGGTGAATTAGCTGATGCCCTTGAAAAGATAACTATAGGACCAATGGCCAAGCCCAGAAAAGGCAGAAGGCACCCTGCCACCCTAATTCGATCCAGATCCCAAGACCCTGCAGAGCGTGGGGTGCCCAAGGAGGGGTACGTGAGTAGGGAGCTGCCTCTGCTCTGGCGATGGTGCCACCCAGGCTGTCCCCAGGCTGGATACCCTCCCTGTAGGATGCAGCGAGGGGTTTTCAGGGCTGACAGCCCTACCCTTGTTCCCTGGAGCTAAATGTGCCACTGCTTCCTTTTAAAGATAAAGCAATGAATAGAGGTTTCCTTCAAAGCCAGCCCTGAACTGAGCTTGGGCACCTTCTTTCCCACTTGCGGTGCCAGTTCCTCCATTAAGCATCACCCACTCCCCTGGCTCAGCTCCCTCTGGCTCTTGGGGGACCCAAACCTTCAGCTTCCAGAAACCCTTCTTAGCTGGCAAGTTATAAGCTGTTTCAGGGACTCTCATTCCCTCCTGCTAAAGTTGCTCCATTTTCGTAGTCAATGATTAAAGACTAATGAGACTGGAAGGAAAGTATATGCAGCAGCGCACAACTGAACAGGGGCCGGGGAAGAGCAGTGTTCATCTCCTCTGTCAGCTATTACTGTATTAAATAACCCTCACAGAGGCTGGAGTCCAGATCTTTACTCTCCCAAGTCATAGTGTTAAATCACCAAGCCTATGTTGTCTCTGTTTGCTCTGCCTGGCCCTGTCAATGTTTGGTTATGCCATCCGGGGCCCAACAGCTTCAACAGAAGAGAATGAACTCATCCTCCTCCCCTCCCAAATGGCCTAGGGTCCAAGATGTGCCTCTCCCTGAGGAATGGGGCGTGTGGGGCCTGAAGCTTTCTGTGCTCAGGACTAAAACAAATTGAAGTTTCAGCATGCTTAGTTGTGGCCCTTGGTGCATAGGGTAGAAGGGGGCTGCCCCCTCATCCCGCTGTTTTTGGTGCTCCCTTTGTACAGTGCTCTCCCTTGAGCACACCTGTGGCACGGGGCCCCTGCTGTGAGGCACACAGTGGGACATCAAATTCATTCATTGGAGCAGAACATAGATATAGCCCCCAAACTCTTTCTTCCTAAAAGGGCCTAAGACAAGTAGCCGTATAATCTGGATATTTATAAATCCCCCCAAACACCCATGCTATCCTATTAGACTTTTTAAGGGCTTTTTCTTGAATAGAGAAGTATTGGCCTCATAGTAACGAAGACACTAAGATAACTTATTTTTACAGGGATATAAAAAATTATATAGACTCAAACCTGTCTAAAACTTCCCTAAAATAACATTTTTCCTGTACTGAGAGTGGCATATTCCCAGGACGTGATGCAGTAGATGCTCTTTTAGCACTCTTTGGCACTAGCCCGCATAATTTACTTGTAGTTTTGACATCCGTGAGTGACGCACCTTTCCCACACTCATGCTGAAACAACAATAATACCATTCCAGTCTGTATTTTGTATCTTGCAGACATGTGCAAAGCTTTTACTTAAGGTTACAAAATGTTGTACAGAGTAAGCCTTTACAGCTAGCTGTTTATAATTGGGCTAGCTCTCAACTGGGTGCCATGATCTTTGCCTCAAGTTCATTTTTTGTTTTATTTTCATGTTACTCTGTTTTATTTTAAAAAAAAAAATTAAAGAGTCCTTGCTATTTCCTGAAATTATTTCCTTATTTTAAAAGCAGGTGGTTTTGTAGAGCCGTGATGCCTCTGTGGTACTGGGTAAAGATTTAAGATTTGCTACAGGGATAATATGGCATGCCATTATGAACACTGTGGAAAAGCATGAAGCTCTGGTCAGTTCATAACTCCTAAACAGTCATTGCTTATATAAGGGCAGGATTTGTAAGGGATTTTTCCTAAAATATCTGAACCTTCCCTTAGTTTGCCTCCCGGGCTCACATGGGTTGAGTGTCGGAAGGGCAGGCGAGATAAAAATTGGTGCCCATACTATTCTGCCCCACATCCCTTTGGGCTTGTGGGAGAAATGCTCCAAAAACTTGCACCTTTTACAGCCCTTCCCTGGATTATGGCCCTATAAAACTGCCTTAAATGACAAGTGAGTGCTCTGGCCTCATTTTACAGACGGCTTAACAGATGTTGGCAAGTATCATTAGAAAGAGAGCTCGGGATTGAGCATTTGTCCACAGCATAGCCCTAAAATGCCCCTTATTCATAGCCCGGTGGCCTTGCAGAGCAGTCTCATCATGCCCAGATGCCTGCTCATGCTGCCTGAAACTGGGGGCTCCCACCCAGGGCCAGGAGCAGGAGTTGGGACCCATGCTCCCCTTGGCCACAGGAGCACCACTGCTCCCAGGCATGTCACCCGCTCCAGTGTCAGCAGCCTTCCTCAGCTGCCAGGAGGGTTTGCTCAGCTTCTTTGGGTCTGCTGCCAGTTAGGACAGTAAGGTGGGGTCTGCAACGTTTCTAGGCTTTTGTTTAAACAAAGAAAAGTTAGGAAACTATTTTAGAAGTTACTTGAAGAGAATATTCAGTCACAAAGTCAGGTAGGGAATGACTAGGGAATACTTGATTCGAGGGTCTCTGATAAATATTTATTCAGCCCACTTGTGCTGCTTGTTCTACTCATCTCCTTACCCCAGTCAGGGAACAGCATGGGCAGTGAATAAGATGAAGTATATGAAGAGTAATAATGTTCCCTGGCTATAGTTGCAACCCAGATGAAAATTCATAGCATTCAAATGTAATGGCAGGCAGGAATAGAATAATTAATGCCTACAAGGATGACATTCGGATTGCACAGATCATGTTTACTCTGATATCTCCCAAAATTTTTATATTTGCATTGTCAGGCCAGCATTCTTCTAATTTATTTTAGTGTATGCAGTCTGTCTGTATGAAATGTCCCTATTTTCCCTGTTTTTCCTGTTGGTTAATAGGTTGGCTTATGATAGTGATTTGTAATGTTACAGGCAAGGGAGGATGTGATCCACATGCTGAAGACAGAGAAAACCAAACCTGAAGTTTTAGAAGCTCATTATGGGTCTGCAGCTCCAGAGAATGTGCTCCGAGTACTACACAGGGATGCCATCCTTGCCCAAGAAAAGTCCGTAGGGGAAGACGTCTATGAGAAACCAATTTCAGAGGTAATTTCTTGATTTACATCATTATGTCTGTGCAGGGGGAATCCTAACCAGAAGTGAGACTCTGCATATTTTGGATGTGTGCAAAGTATGCAAGAGGGTTACACAGCATTTGTACAAATTAAAGAAATTGAAGAAAAATTGAATATTTTTGTTCGCTCAACTGCAGAATAAATTGTAAGCAAAGTCACTGGGTTTGAACACAAACAATAAAGAGCTTGTATGCTCCTTGGGGCTGGTGCTGTTAAGCAAGAACAAAATCTGTGGGTGTTACTTTTCTGTTTTTTAAATTGCTTTCAATTATAGGCTCCGACCTCTACTTCTCACAGCACTGGTAAACACTCTCTGATTTTCTTGGCATGCTAGACCACTATCATGTGGGCAGTTAGAAAAAGAAGACCTTCAGAGATTGACTTTGACCATATTCAGGGGAACATAAATCCATAATCATTTTACGTCACTGAAGCTCTAGGACTGCAAAGTCATTTCAGCCCCTAAAGGAGACCTGTAGGACTTGATCCCTTGTTTTAAAGTCTAAGCAATAAATGAATGTAGAATAGACCTGGGAATGTCTGAGGCCAGCATGAACGCCAAAATAAGCAGCCACTGCTCATGTTTATAGTTTCATA